CAGCTGGTAGACTGTAGAACATCAAAGAGAAGCACAGTGTAGCAATATCCCAATTCCCCAGTAACGGGACAATACACAGTTCTGGGAGTCAACTGATTTTATTCAGCCACAGCTGGCTTTTATGCTATTCCCCATGCAAAGGGTTTCTTAATTACATTCCAGGGGTTTTCCCCGGGTGGACCTTGTTGGGGACAAGGGACAAATCAACATTTTCCAGACTCCTCCTCTGTGCCTGGGAGATAATTGGGTAAAAACAACTCTTTAATTACATTATCTCCAAGGTAAAAAAAATACAATATTTCAAAACCATATAAAACATATTTTAATAGTTCAGAACTCCACAAAATATCACCAGATCCATTCGGTAGATTAGGAATGCCATTTGAGTGAAGTTAAGACCGGTCGACCACGAGGTCAAGCCCCAAAATAGTTCCAGAGGGTTTTAGGTTTTGACTGGTCTACTTTCGGGAGTATAAAACATAGAAAATAACGAATGAAACCATTCATATAACAGGTGGTTGTGTGTCCTGTGTTCGGTAGTTTGTTTCATACGAATGCCGCTCTTTCTAGGTAAATTAAACCGAACACACAAAGGGGTGGTAGTTCAGCGGTGTTCGCGCCATTGAGTGTCCGAATATTGTTCCATGCACTTAACGACCAAACACTGCTGTCTGTGTTCATGGACAAAGATGGCCGCCGTCACGTGTTCGGTCATACAAACGATGGCCACCCAGCCGGCCGCCTAGAACCTTGCGGTTTCTAAGTGTGAATACAGTCAATTGGAGGCACTCGACTCCCCTGGGTGGTCCAACTGTTCGGTAGATGATTTGGTATATGAACAATATAGCTCTAGTCTGTTCGGGACCCCCAATAGTCGAAAAAGTCTTTGACATGAACCTAACCGTCTCTAATACAAATAGGTGGCTGGTTCCGCCACAAGGGCAATGTTTACATTGCAGGATTACTCTAGTGGCAGTCTTACTGACAATTAAAACCTGGTCACGTGACATTGCAGCTCTTAGGAAAGCACTGAATTAAATGATTTCCTCTGAGAAGCATTGGATGCATGCACAGCACTTGCCTTTCACGTGCCTCGGGTCCCAAATGCTCCTCTATGAGAAGGATTAGACCAGCAATGGAGAAAGAGGTGCCTCCTCAATGACATGGCGGCAAGCAGCACTAATTAAGTGTAAAATAGTACAATATACAATAAAATAGCACATATACACACACATACAGCGGTTCGTATGCATACAATGATACAAAGCAACTGCAGTATCAATAACACAAGCAGAATATGGCGACATATACACCTCAATTTAAAAAATAGGACCAGCACGTTCCGGGCCATCACAATCTTGTTTCGGCACAGTGCTGCTAAAAGGTTGCCTACCCCTGCACTGGCACATACATACACACACATATACATGTCATACTTCATATCCATGCAGCCACCCTCCTGTTAGTTTACCCTTGTGTCCAGGAGGGTGGCTTCCCTGGGGGTTCTAGTCCTGACTATGGCTGATGGTAGCTCAATCCAGCCTCTCCTCTACCTACATGCAGCTGTATCTCCATTCCTCCCAGGTGGCCCTTTGTGAAGCAGGGTGGAAGTGGCAGGCTGGCACTTTCTCCCTGCCACAGGAGCCCGGTCTGCTCTTAAATGGGCATGGCACATTATAGGGGGCGCAAATCATATACAATGTCCTGGAAATCACACACAATCTGACATACAATGGTGTCAGGGAGCCACATTCAAACTGCGGGTGTCCCCTGGAGCGTCTGGGAGACTTGAGATGCCGGCAAGTTAGGTTGGTTAGCAGTTGGTCAGATAACAGTAGATTCTGACCAAACATGGCGGCTCAGCCAGACAAAAAAGCAAAAGTTTCTA